TGCCATTTGGTAATTGAGATATCCTGAGCTGCACGTCGGTAGGCCATGCAATCCATTCTTTGGCATCAAAGTTTCTATGATTTAAACAACGTAATATATATACCGGTAGGGGAGTTGTAGGTATACCAACGTTGATTTCGTGGCTGAGGATGTTTAAAGGTGCGCTGGTTTACGGGTGAACTTGAATTGCCAGAGTTGCGCACATAATAATCTTCGTTGTAAAATGGCGCGTCGAAATCAAGACGTCATTTGGCCAAAGATAACTTGTTATCTTGTACTTGAGAACCAAGCTTATAAAAAACTTTATGGCGTGGGCCTATACCGAGCACCTTTTGGGATGTTACCGCAGCTGTGGACACTTGGTGCGATATTTCGACCCAACGTGGCTTTTTCTTTAGCTCAGCTAAGACGACGCTCGCTTTGCATCAACTACATAAAACCATCGGCTCGTCAGTTTCCTCTACGCTAGAGTCCAACATTGACTCGACAATAACTGGTCCCGTCAAATCTTTGGGTGGCTTGTTTGAAAATAAATCAATCTTTAATTGTGGCCGAGAGTTCTGCTTTGGGATGAATTGCATTAGAACGAACTCGGCCTTTCCTTTTCCTTTATCCCTAAGAAGATAAGCATCTACCATGCTTACTGTCGTCGTAGGGAAATGATCGGTATCAATGCCCATTTACTTCTTAGGAAACTTGAGCTTACCATTGTCGATCTAGCTTTGAATGGCATCATGAAATACGACACAATTATTAGTCGTATGCTTGTTCGAATTGTGGTATTTGCAATATGTCTTGCCTTTTAAATCATCAGCCTTGGGAATGTTATGCCATAGCCGAAGCTTGACAATTTTCGTGAGCAACAACTGGTTGAAGATGGTGTCAACCTTAGTGATGTCAAAAGTATTAACTTTCGATGTTTTGATGGTAGCTTCTTCAGAAGTCAAGCGGGTTTTAGCATCATTGGAGTTAAGATGAGCCAATGCTTTGCATATGTATGGTTTGTCGATCACTATCTTGGCCGCGTCAATACTGGCATATTAGGATTCTTCATTTTTGGCCGACGCATAACTAGTTGTACGATTCTTGTAGATTGTTCCTCGGGATAGGGACTTCGAGATCTTTTCTTCTTGGTGGATTGGAGGCCTCACTGTCGTCTTCGTCACAATCTTCCACTAGTCTTTCAACAAAAATGCCCTTTGTTGTTTTGATGGGGATCTCTGTATCATGGGGTTGGCCACTGAGATTAACTTCCTTTTCTCGGTGTGTCACTCTTGTGGCTTCAGGAGTCACGGCAACAGAAGGATTCTGTGCCTGTAACAAGCCATCTTGTCCTGGATTTTGGACTGGAAGACTAGTCGTTGACTTTCCCATGACTGTTTTCTTCTTTACCGACCCTACCTAAATGGTCATGAACTTTGTAGTTTTAACATTGGGTCCCACTAGGCGAGCCAAAATGTTAACCCTAAAAACTACCAAGCCTACGTGGTGTGCAGGCTGAGTAACTAATAAGCTAACTACATCATTCAATTATGTGTGGGGCGTGCCAACTCGTCGACTGAGCTCGGCTAGGGAGTAAAATGTGTTGATGTCGTGTTGGGTGCGCTGCTGACTTCTACGTCTTACGATTGTGGTTGAGGAAGGAACACGTCTCGACCTTTGGGTTATAAAGCCTGAAGACAAGGCTACTAGTTTTGCAAAGTTCACAAATTGTCTGCGTCGGGTTCGGTCACGGTGATTATATTCGTGAAAGTATAAGCACGTCAAACTGGCACCAGACTATACGGACACAAATACTCGAAAGATATGTACGTCTTAGTGGTAAATGTGGTTTAGCTGTCGAAATGCCGAACTCTGAAACTTACTTACAAGTATCCAATCATAAAACAACTCGACGTTCAATGTGCCGAGCCTAGCAATTTGTAACACCTCACTTCCCCGAGAAGGCTAATGAGATGACATCTGCCAACAAGGATTCAAAATCCTTCTTGACCAAGGCTTAGATAAATAACTAGTCTACCTCGAAGTAGTGCTATTTATCCAAACTGAAGGTGTTCCTCAATCGGCTGATTCTACAGCTATAGTGTTGTCTATCCAAATTGAAGATGTCGTCGGTTGCCTTCACAGTGCTGTTTATCCAAACTGAAGATGCGTTGGCGGGAAAAAATAAGAGAAGGATAAAATCTCAAAGGTTGTTGAAAAGTTTTGCGCAGGGCAATTTGTATGTTGAATTGGAGGGGCCTTGAATGATGCACTCCATTCTCTATTTATAGTAGCAAACCCCCTTATAGCCGAGCTAGAATTGTACTCAGATTAGAACTCCTCATCCTAATTTGATTAGGTCTCGGCCAATCCTAACTCTAATAGGACTTTGAACCAAGCTCTTTAACAAACCAAATTCATCTCCTAGGTCTTAGCCTTAAAGACTCCTTGTTACACTAGGTTTCGACTACCCCACTCTTATCTAAACCAATCCCCTTCATGATAGGATTCGGCCAATCCTCACTAGACGGCCCGTGATAATTTTAGAAGATTACTAAGCCAAGAGCGGCTCTAAGCTTGGCCTAAAATAATATTTTGGGCCCAAACACATACATATTTCACCATTTGTATAATCACACATAATGTATCACTCTGTATTTCAGTTACACTGAAAAATCTCTCCAGTAATTAAGGGCTTGTTTGGTATCCTATTTGAAAATTTTTATCATTTCTCAAAACATTTCTTAAGAACATTTCTTAAAAACAATTTTCTTTAAGACTTAAAAACTTGATTAGTTTGCGATGTAAAATTTTTAAATCATACAACTTAAACTAGACAAAAAGATCTAAAAAGAGGGGATTGCAAGAGAAGGAGAAATAGGAGAGAGGTGGAAAGAAAGTAAGAGATGATTGAAGGAAAGAGAAAGAATAGAGAGGAGAGGACAAGATAGAGAGGAAGAGGAGTGAGAGAAAGAATTGAGAGAATGAAAATAGCAGATTGGAAGAGAGACGAAAAAGGTTAAAAAAAAGTGGAGAGAGATAGAGAGAGAGAGAGATTTGTAGTGAAAGGGGAGGAGGGAAAGAAAAGAAATTAGTGAGTAAGTTTAAAAATTCTAAAAACTCATTTTTTTATGTTTTTAGAGAATTGACTATATTTTTAAGTTAGTCTTGAGTTCAGTTTTTTAAAATAGTCATACTAAACAAGTTTTTAAGGCTTAAAACTTGAAAATTGTTTTTGAGTTTAAAAAGTTAGATTCAAGTAAAGTACCAAACATATGGTTGTCATGTTCTTAGTAGCAGTACCTATAGAACAGTGTACTTGGCCAGAATGAATTATTGGTATTGAATGTCAACCTTTATACAGAAGTTTCCCTACAAACTAGCAGTTAATCCAGCTATCCTGATGTACAATAAAAGTAGGAAATAAAATAAAAAATCGATTGCAAATATTGACATGCCGAATTTATTCTCTAAATAATTTGGATTCCGATTACATTTTAACACTTTCTCTCAAGTTGAAGAATGAATGTTAAGAACACCCAACTTGAACAGCATGGTCGGAAATTTTTCTTTGCCCAACGCCTTTGTAAACATAGTCGAAAACTGTTACGCTAGCTAACTGAAAGTCAAGTGTGCAGTAAGTGCTCATTTCTCCCTCCGTGTCCCAGATGCTACACGTGATTGTGTAAGTGCTTGATATTAATATTGTGGTGAACGGTGGTGGCAGCAACGGTGGTCATGACAGCAACAATGGTGGGAATATGGTGGTGTTGCCAATAGTAGGGTGTGGTGGTTGGAGTGTAGAGGTAGCATTGTGGTGGTAGAGAGTGGTGGCCTTCTTGGCAGTGGCAACAGTGATGGTGGTGATGTCTACGATGGTGTAAGGCTGATGGTAGTTGTTGTAGGTGGTGTTGACGATGGCAGTAACGATGACGGTGAATAGTGGGCGTATAGTGACAGTGCCAATAGTGGTATGTGATGGTTAAGGTGCATAAGTAATGGTAATAGGAACATCTGCGACAATTATATAAATGGTGACGGCAATGATGGTGGTGGCAAGGGCAGCAGACTAATCTTAATGCCGCTAGTACTTCATGAAAAGACACTCTGAAGTCTCTGGAAAAAGCACTCAAAACAACTTAGGTGCACTTTTTGCCAAATATAATGTGAACCATTTTTGTTTATTAGAAAACATTTATTTCCTCACAAAGCGCTTTTGGTCACCATGCTCGGTTTATTCTAGGACTAACTACATTTACACCCTCAATGTTTGAGATGGTTTTCAAAACATCCCAATTCATTTATATTACACTTCTTAAGTTTCGAAATTATCTTAGTTTATACGTTTAAATGAAACATAAGACATAAATTGATACAATTTCAATATCTAAAGTACAATATGAGAAAACTGAACAAACACGACTCACCACAAACTTAGACGGTATGAAATGTACTGTTACCTTCATTTTTTAGTTCCTTTGAAATATAGGGTATTAAAGAGTTTACGAAAACTTAAGAGGTCAGAATGTTGCAGAAAAAAGTTCAATGTAGTTTGTGATGTGGAACTAGAAGCCGATAAAAATGTTCCAACCACGCCATGTTGATATTCCGGGATCTGGAACATGCAGTGGAGTCCGGAGATCAAGGTCGAGGATCGGTAACGCATGAACATTCGATGCTCGGATGCTCGAAGGACGTCGCATGAACATCCAAAGATATCTACCCTGCAACTGTTGCGTCTGCAACTTTTAATATGCTAGTCAGTCACCTGACCACTTAATGTGAAAAGAACACTTGGGGGAAGAAATTCTCCGCCCTCTCTCTAACAGGTCAAACCAAGCTCTACATTCTTGCATTTTGTAGAACGTCCGATGTGAAGCCGGCATTTTCAGAAACGCATCTTGCCGGCCTGCTACGACGCTCTTGATAGGGTAAAAGACTTCATCTGCTTATCGCCATTGTAACAGTTTATACGGGTGTAGCTTAAGACATCATTCACAAGTTCAAAGAACAAGAGATAATAATAGAGAGCTTTTATTGCCCACGAGGACAAAAGTAACTGTTTACCCTTTGTCCCTAATTCAATCAAATCTTTCTATTCAGTTCCAACGGATAGAAGCAAAAGCGTCTGTTTCCGAGACCCTTTGTTTCTCCCTGCTCTGACAATCACAAGGAAAATGATTCAATAATTCGTACGACAGGCTAGCCAATGCACACTACTCTTACAAATACCAAATGAAAAATGGTAGAAGCAGCAGGCATACAAGAAGAGCAAACCCAACAATCCAAACCGGCGACGAACAGAAAAGAACAGCCTTCTCCGGTCGTTGGAGGAGTCAAACACAAACGCTCACCCGTAAATTTTTGTTTTCCACGTGAGACATTCTCCATCCAGCTTGGGTCTGCATAGATTGTTCACGAATTAGGCTCTTGGATAATAACAGGCAAGCTTAACAAATCTCAGAGAAAGTAGTCTGGTGCAGGTTTCTTGGCAGGCGCCCCTCTTGATTCCTGCATTTTATCACCATCGTTTAGTGTAAGGAAAGTGAGAGAACAGGAAAAAAAAAAAAAAAAAAAAGACAGCGGATACATTCACAGTCCATGTCACTGAACTAAGTGTTATTCTTTCATAAATTTAACTAATCATACTTGATGCTAATTATTTCCACATAATCCAATTCATAGACTGCATTTCAACTCTTTCCAGATTTTATTGACAATGTCAAGTAGAATCCTTCGAACACCCAGTGCAATTTTAATTTTTTTTTACTGGCTGCATTAACCCACATAACACCAATTACAAGTGGACAACACGTACAAAGTTTCACGGTGCTGCTCAAAATAAAGTACGTTTCTTATTTTTCAAGAAAAATCAAATTTTTGGACACACCTGTGGGGCAGCATCAAAAACACGAAACTGCTTGTTAAGATTTTCATCCAGCTCAAGAATTGCAGCTACATTACCACATCTGAAACAGACCACCATTGACAACTCAATATAAACCTTCAAACTCTGGAAAAAGGAGGAGAAACTTGATTGCAGACTGGTAACTTACCTGTAACAGTAATTTGGTGCTGACCAGACAGTTACTATCTGGTTATTAAACATCCATTTATACCCCTCCATTACCAACTGATGGGCACGACATATATAGTCAATGTTGTTTGCATGGTTAAATGAAGTAACAACACTGCCACCAAAGAGGAAGCCAGCACCACGCGGACTTAAACCCCAACCGTCCACGATATCTTCAGGATCTGACCATAGTAGGTCGCACATGCCACCATCATGAGGTACTTCTTGCTTCCTATCAATTGTTCGTATCTGCCAAACAGAACATGTTGGTCGGTTAGCATACAAAGGAGAGACTAAAAACTAAATAAAACTAGTAACAATTCAAACTCATAAAGGATTCTCAAACCTGATCCAGAGTTGTAATGGCAGGAGAGAGACCACCATGTACGCTGAAAATCTTATTTTCAATGAGAGCTGACAGACTGCATGAAACCACCATAAAAATTCAAAATATGTAAAGGAGAAACAATATAATATGCCCGAGCCTTGGGCTCTATTGGAAGCAGTTTAAATGAAGACTAAACTAAACTGCCTAATGGCCTGTATTGAGGAACAAAACGTTTACTTTGAAGATGTAGTACTTGCTTCTAAACAAAGGATGCATAGATAAACTGAAAAACCGAACACCTACTGAGTTTAGTGTGGCGCGATGGGTAGTGTGCCAAAAAGAAAAGACACTGAGAAATATGGGAATCAAACAGCTGGAAAGAATTTGAGAAAATTAACACATTAAATTAAGAAATTTCTAGCAATTATTCGATATGGGAAATTTGTTAAAATGGTGTAGCGACAGTAACTGTTTTACGAGACTAAAATGGCAACATCCAGTTATAATGATCTCAACATCCAATTTGGATGAAATTTAAAAATGGATTTTAATAACTTTTTCTCCTTTCCTATAGGTACATTTGAATCCCAAGATCTATCACAGTCCTGCACCAACCACCTGCTACCTCAACTAAGGCCAAGGGGATCCTTTCCAAAAGAAAGGAAGGGTAGTTTTGATAACTAATACAGGGTTTATTTCACAGATCATAATATCCTATGATCTCCTTCACAAGAAAATAAACTGTCATAAACCTTTATGAAACAAGGTTTCCACTACGAAATACTAATCTGTCCTAACCTTCAACACAAAAATCTTATGTGATAGGAAAGGGCAAACCTCAGATAATCAAATATATCTGTGCAATATCTCCAAACATTGACGGATCCATACTTTCGTAGACATTCATCGTAGAATCCATACACCTGTCTACAAAGGATAACTCAGTAAATATTCTGAATGGGTAAGCACTAAACAGTAGGCACCGGTAAAAGAGACTTAACCTGTGTGATCTGACGACTCTCGTGGTTTCCTCTAATAAGAGTTATCCGATCTGGATATCTAACCTGAAGTAATTAATTTGGGTTAAAATAGTAAAAAAAATATGAAATAAACTAATGAAACATGAGAATAAATGCACGACCTATAGTTATTGTCAAAATCCAGCATGACTATCAAAATGAATCACTATCAATTAGATATTCTTCTACAAATTCAGGTTGGAAATTTGTAGCCATAGGTAGGAAATTTGTAGCCATAACCTTATATGTACTAGCTTGCAGTTTACAAAAACCTTTACAACAGTTCAACCACCAAAGACTTGTGAGTGAAGTAAGATAAGGCATTAGAGCTCGTTTGGAAGTGCCTTTAAAATGGTTGAATGCGCTTCTGGTGAAATGTTTTTGGAACCAATCCTTAGTAAAATGCAATTGAATCCTCGAAAAGCACATAAAGTGCTTCCTGCAAGAAGCACCAGTTATTTGCTTCCTGCACGAAGCCCCAGTTATTTGCTTCCTGCACGAAGCACTTTAAGTGCTTTTAGAACCCAAAAGATTTTCGCTAGAAGTGCTTTCAGTCATTTTAAAGCACTTCCAAATGAGCCCTTAATGTAGTTGTATCATTGTGGAACAAGTTCTATCATCTATAAGAAACAATAGTGGCAGGCAAACAGAAAAAATAATAGTAAAATACCAAGTATTAAAGAAACTTAAACGTTTAATTAACCATTTAAAGACATTGCGTGCTCTTAAGACAAAAACAAACAAACTCTTAAAAACTTGACAGACTCCTTGTAATACTTGACAGTAACTTTCACACTAACAGTTTCACTTATTTAGCTATTTTTATTGAATTTTTTATTTTCTGATTTTTGCACTGTTGCATCACTGTGTGGTTTTACATGGCAGGAGATCCATGACATGGAATTTAGTGTACTTTTTACAAACACCAATCTACTGAAAACAAATAGATCCTACAGTTTTAAAAGGGAATTGTTATTAGCATGCCAATAATCTCATTTGGCACTCCAAACTTTCTATAATTAGAAAGAAAAATACACTTGTGAGGAGTGTAGAATGAGATTTTTGGAGTGCTAATAACAGTTCCCTTTTAAAATTAGGGTTATGTTTTGAGGCAATAGAAACAACAATTGTCCTAGAAACTTTGAAGAATGTGTCGAAAACTCCTAATGCAGTACACACAAAAAAAATAAAAATAAATGAATCGTCTTTAATGATATAAATATTAAATAGCAAGCCAAGCATCTTCAAATGCCCAAGAAATCAGGAAAAAGTAAAGAGAAGATAAGCCTATCACCTTCAGGGCAAGTAGGAGTAGAAATGTCTCAACAGAATAAAATCCTCTGTCAACAAAATCTCCAAGAAACAAGTAGTTGGTCTTCGGGCAATCACCTCCTACTTTGAAAAGCTCTTTCATGTCATAAAACTGCCCATGGATGTCACCGCATATCTATTCATCAAAACACAAAGAACAATAACAATTAATTAGCCTGAACCCCGCAACGTTCAGGACTTGAAATTCATATTTTATAGCACCATCTATTCAATAAGAAGAAATAGTTCCACTAGCCCTATTTCCCTGCTAAGCCTTCTTATCACTAGACCACCTCTAAGTAGTTCGTAAAATCAAGTAATAAGCACAAATTATAGCAAAAATGGGACTGATCGTCACTAAAGTAAATGGTAACTACTGATAACGCTATATTTCACTCCGGACCCCAAACCTGGGTCTACACGAAATTCTACAACCATTTGATTATCCAAGTAAAAATAGGAAACCACAATTGAAATATCATTCTAAAACCCTTATCTATTTCCTAGAATCCAATAGCAATTTAAGCTTTTTCCTTCATAAATTCAGGTAGCAAATGCACAAAAATTGAAATTAAAGACAAACCCACTTGTCTGAATCGAATTAAACATCGAAAAACATAGCAAAATCAAATCCAATAACCAAAACAATCAACGAACACCCAAATAAATATCATAGTACTACTTCGAAGACTACCCAAAAACCCACTGAGCTCGCAATTACAGAGAGAGTGAGATATATATATGTATATGTAGAGAGAGCGAGAGAGAGAGAGAGTACAGTGACAGGAGCATCGACTCTCTGAACGTTGCTCTCTTCGACGAGGATTTCCATGGCTTTGAGGCAGAGAGCCTTCACCTCCGACTCTTTGAGAGGCTCGCACTTCTTCAGCTGTTCTATTTGCCGGTCTAGGTCTGACATCTCTCCCTCCCCCACCCTCTCTCTCAACTTTCTCTCTCTACCCTACCCCCTCTTCTCCCCTTCCTCAGCCCCACGCCGCCGCGCCGCCACCACGACCAACCCTCTCTCTCTAGAACAGTGAGATAGTGATTCGTGAATCTGTCTCTCTCTACTGTCCTCCACAACCTTCTCTATCACTCTCCCACTTCCTTTTTTCTGCGGGCTCCTCTCACTCTCAGCCCTCCAGATTTTTTTTATTTTAGTTTTGCCCACTTCCAACTTTATCGTTGCTAAAATGGCCCCGCCTCAATTTCAATTTTTAAAACAGATCACACGACAAGTCGTTCGACCCGAAAGTCACCACGCGAATAAAAAACCTTGGAAGAAATAACCTGAACTTCTTCATCCTTGAGCTTGCGAGTTAGAGAGGGAGAAAGAAGAGAGAGAGAGGGTAGGGAGAGAAAATGGCATGGAGAGGGAAGCTATCTCAGAACTTGAAGGAGCTTAGGGTTTTGCTTTGCCAATCGTCCCCTTCAAGCGCATCCACCAGGTCCATTCAATCACTTATTCTTTTTATTATTTTAATTAATTAATTAATTAATTAATATATATTTTTTTTTTTTAATTTTATAGAAAGGGTAAATCTTTGTTTGAATTTGCAGAGCATTTGTGGAGAAGAATTACAAGGATCTGAAGAGTGCAAACCCCAAATTGCCCATCTTGATTCGTGAATGCAGAGGGATTGAGCCTCAGTTGTGGGCTAGATATGGTATTCTTCCCCATCCTTCCTAATTTTTTATGGATTTTTATTTTTATTTCTACATTTTCCAGTGCTTTTTAGAATTTGAAATGCTTAATTTCATGATCGTCATTGGTTCAAGCTAGATATTAGCTCTCACTACATTTCCTTACGATTTATGATGTGTATCGTCGTTGGTTTAAGGTAGATATTAGCTCTCACTGCATTGCCTTATGATTTTATGAATAATTCTGGAATCCAACTTATGACAGCCGCTCGTTTGGTTGCTATTTTGATTCCGGTATTTTCAATGGTTCATAAGATGATCTCTAATAAGCACGAAAGTATATGTATTGGAGTCTGCTCATTTTAGGGCCTTTTCGATAACATTTAGTTTTGTTTTCGTTTTTAAGTAGAGATAGAGAAGGGAAAATAAGAGAATAGTGAGAACAGAGAAAATAAATCTGAGTAAGTAAGGAGAAAATGGATATGGGATAAGGAGAAAATGTTTTAAAGAGGATGATAATTTCAAAAAATTTAGTTTTAGTTTTATTGGGAGCTGATCAACAAGAGGAACTTGAGATTTCTAAATCTCGGAACACTTGAAGATGTTTGTATTCTAGAATTGCAATAATACCCTTTTATTATAACCAGAACTATGTTTCACTTCAAGATGTTTGTGAAAACTGCTAAGTAGCGGAAAAAGAGATGCAGCAGTATCTTGGACAAATGCAGTGAACATTTTATAATTGATTGGTTAAAACTATTTACCGTGTTTTTTCTTAAGTTCAATGCGGAACATGAGTGTTTATCTTTAATTACAAGTGATAATAAAAAGTTTGAATATGGACTGGTCATGTGCTTGTTTTCTTCACCGGTATCATATATATGAACGAAAATGTGTATTTAAAGCTTTAGAAAGTTCTAATTATTTTGATAATGAACAATGGATAACTATTGAAAATAAGTTAATTCCTAACTTAAAGTTCCAAGTACATAAGGTTTACTCAAACGTTACTAAATAGATGTCGCCTCTGTTACTTTGATGCTCTGAGTTACAGTCACTGTTATGACATTTGTCACCAAATTTATGTATCTTGTTTAAGTTGAAGATGCCACCAGAGGTCAGAAGAGAAAGAATTTAGGTTTCGGCACTTAGAAGAGCATGATTGCTAGCAATAGAAGATGTCTTTTTCAGGTGGCCAAACTATGATGGTTCTAGCCAGCCTCTAGCAATTGGTTCATAGGATTGTTTAGAGTTGGAGCTAAAACTTTTATTAATTTCCTTTTTCTATTCTTCTGTACGGAATGCTTTAGAAATCCCAAGGTTTGGCTTTGCTTTCTGTTTTCCAATATCGCACATGCTATGGATACGCATAGACTAATTTTAATAGGCCATGTTAAAAATTGTATTTCAACTATGGTGAAATTTTCAATAAGCGACCTTAAAGGTGTAGGGACTCGAGTCTGCCTGCTTTCACCCTATTAGATAACAGCTTTACCTATATAGTCGTCATCTTGGGTGGGGATTAACAGCAAAGCAGGTTTAGGTATGACGACTTGACGAATGGTAAACAACATTCTCTCTTCACAATAAAGTGCCTGTACTTAACGACTCACTTTTTGCCACACTTTGTCCTGGACTCATGGTCTGATATTTTTCATTCTTGATGTACTTTTATTCAACCTATGTGTGTTCTTTTATTGGTTCTTTAGTCGTGTGCTGTTAACTTGAATTTTGCACCATGTTGCTCTGTCAACTTAACCTTTGATTATTTGACAGACATGGGTGTTGAGAGGGGCGTTCGACTGGAAGGTTTGACAGAGCCACAGATCTCGAAAGCACTAGAGGAACTGGGTAAGGTGGGGGAGTCTCTAAAGGCCTGATAATCGACAGTGTGAAATGAAATAAATGTACATTCATGGGAAATTCTTTCCTATGATCGCCTGCCCTTTGTTTAGCTCAGGTGTTTCTTGTGTAAGATGATTCTTTGGGTTGATTACGCGCAGTACTGCGCGTGTTGTAGTTTGAATAATTCATGTATTTTCCGTCTTCCATGAAGAACAAATCTTCTAGAAATTGAGTTCTTTGGTGCCTATGCGCTTCCTTTTCGATTTTTCCGTCTATTGGCCTAGTTATCAAGATGCAAACAAAGCCAACGTTGTGAGTTGCAAAGTCGCTTGCACCACCATCTATATCGCCATTACCCTGCAACCATCTTCATCACCATCACCCTTGCCATCATTACTCTCCCACACAGCATTCATTGGTCCTCCCAACTGTTGCGATCACCTATACCCACCACAGCCATTGGCACCACCACTTTTGCCACCGACGCCAATCACTATTGCCGTCACAACCCTCAACCACCGTTGTTGGAACCACCATCCCCACCACAAACGCCACCATGCTAAAATCTATATAACAAAAAACAGTCTCCTTCCATTGAGGGACACCTTGTCTGGCTCAATATATGATGGATTCGACGATCTGATCGTTGAATTTTTCATCCCTTAGTTCTACCAAAATATCATTAAGACAATTTGTCATAATGGGAAAAAATAGACCAACATAGTTTTTTCAATAAACAATAAAATGACTACTTTCTAATTAAGAGGTCACATGATTACCGATTTTGATGATTTTTTTCATAAAAGATCTATGAATCAAGAGATGAATATTCAACCGTTGAAACATTGAAATTTATCATACATTGAACGATCATCAACATAAGTGGATTGTTAAAAAAATATTACAACCAACACAAATTTGTTAATTTTTATAAATAGGCGAAAGTAAAAGAGATAACTTTTGCTAGAGATAGAAGTGGAACAGGTGCAATGTAACACACAAATGATGTAGGTAAAGAAAGGAGGGGATAGTGGTCTTATTGCTTTTCACTTTTGATCTAGTGTGTTATTTGATTATACACTAATGCTCTTTATATTGAGCCTTTTACGTGCATAATTCTACAAGGCAATTTAAGGCATGTTAAAAAAACCATGCTATATAAGTTGAAGATCATGTCATCCAACAATAGTAAATTTGACAACACCGCCATTTTAGTCCTTCTTACCTTTTAACTTTTGACTAAACTATGTAGGCATTCAAATCCACACCTTTTACAACATTAATCCTTTTCCTTGATACTACACACTTTCAAAGTTTTTATCTCGCAACAAATATCTTGGATTAAAGGACTAAACGCATTTTTAAATTATAAAAGTTAAAATAAAATATTTGTCGTTTCCATTTTGCAAAGTAATTCTTCCAAGATTACTAAATTACTAATAATTATTTAAGTAACTTCACACTTATTTAATGGAACGCGTAATTAATTGTGATAATCTCGATTAGCAATGTAAACCATAGAGGATAATAGGACTTGGTCGGCTAGACCGATGGAGAAGCCTTTGGGTACCACGACGATAACGACGCTGTATACGACACACAGCCACCAGCTAAACAAATTATAATTCCGACGTCGGGGTCGGACAAAGATTCCGCCCTCTCTCTCTACCCCTCTCCCTCTCCCTCTCCCCTTTGTTGTTGGTTGGTTGTGCCGCCGTACGGCGTCGTCTCCTTCCGTTAAAGTTAAGCCGTTTCCATTAATCAAATCAAATTTAATCAAACTGTCTTCATTCTCGTCTCTATCCCGATACGACCCCGTTTCGATCTCCCCATTCTCAACGACCCTCAATCGTAATCCCTAATTCAGGTAATTACGATCGCCTCTATTTTAATCCTGTTTCTCCCATATATATATATATATGCTATGTATCCAAATTTTCTTCCTTTCGTTTTGACAATTTCGATTAGGTTTTAACATTTTAGGGTCGATCAGCATTTTTTTTGTTTTGGCGAATTATGGGTTATGTGGGATCGTTCAGGTTTGTGCATGTTGTTTAATTAGTTTTTATTTGTTTAAATTTTTTATTTAGCATGGCTTTTATCTGGCCATGAGTTGCTTTGATTTAATATTTTCTTGAATTGGTTCAAATTGTTTTACTTAGCTTGAATTATGGAGTTTTCTTTAATCCAAAGGAGCTCGATTTGCATCTTTTTACTTTTGTTGCTCTCGGTTGAGCGCTATCGATTGAGAAGACTTGGTGGAACACTGTTTCGTGTAGCCCAATTAACTTACTTAGAATTAGGCAGATTAAGAGCTTAGTTATGGCCGGTGTCGCTGCATTGGGGAGTAAACGAGACAAGCAGGATTTTTTTTTTTTTTTTGCGAGCTGATGCAATGTACTGTTTAGCTGTATTTCTTGAATTTATCCGAGTTATATGAGCTAGTGGGTGTAAGCTTGTGGTCCTGTATATGGCGTTGGATATTTGTGATCGTATTATGGTAGAAAGTGGAGTTGTTACTTTTTGGGAAGTGGGAAGTGCTCATGATGTATATTAATGTTTTTGGTTCATCGTGGATTTAGAGGTTTTTAGATTCGTTAAGATTGGACTAAATATATAGAGATATTGAGATCTTATAAGTGGAAGTTTACGCTCCAAAAGATGGTGGTGTAACGGCTCTCAGCTGGCTATCAATTCCCTGAGAAGTTTCTTGGTTTGCAGTCGGTCAACACAGCACTTTTATTGTAACAAAAAGTACTTGGTAGTTTGGGCCGAATTTATAGCTAGGTGACAATGCTTTGGTATTGATAGGTTTAAATTAACTGGAAATTAGCTGCAGGATTAGATAGAAGGAACTGCCGATTTTGATGCGAATTTATTATTGTTTCTTAAGTGCTTATCAACCAAACAAGTACTGCTCATGCTATGTTACTCTTACCAAACAAATCCTTTGTCTTTTCAGCTTACCGTCAAAGATATGGTGGGTTGATGAAGTTCTTGGGGAAAAATAAAAATTGTGCTAACCAGAAAGATAAAATATCCTTACGTGATGCTATTCTAGATATAATCTGCTGCCTGTGGTTAACCTTGTATTATACTTGTCATTTGATTATTTTGAGCCTATACAAGGCCCAAAGATATGTAAAGATATTGTGTTCATTTGTACAAAAGCAATCCCTGAGTATGTTATTGATGAATTAGTGTGCCCTTTTTATTTCAGCACAATGGCATCTTCTTCGGACTCATGGATGAAGGAATATAATGAAGCAACAAAACTTGCTGATGATATCAACGGTATGATATCTGAATGGAGTACATTGCCCGCAGGTCCAGACACTCAGCGTCATGTCTCTGCTATACGGCGGAAGAATACAATATTGGGGACTAGACTTGATAGCTTACAGTCCCTTTTGTCAAAACTCCCTGAAAAACAGCATATGTAAGTCATCATAGACTCATAGTTGACTTGTTTTAATGCATGCGTCAACTGCCATTGGAGCTAAATGTAGGAACTGAACAATGTTGTATGCTCTTGTTTCATTTCCTGCTTCTATTGGTCAATGCTGCATGTGAAGGGGTTTATGCCCAACTTATGAGTTCTTTGAGTTAGTATTTCATGCTATCACCGTTTGTGATAAAAGCTCATGAAACTTTTGATCAAACATTGTTATTGTAAGATAGTCCTTTATAATGTTAAAGTGACTTCTGGCTATCATTATATGACATTCTTTTATGCTGCCAATTTTGAAACTCAGAACAGAGAAAGAGATGAACCGTCGGAAGGATATGATAGGAAATTTAAGGTTGAAAGTTAAGCAGATGGCTTCAACATTGACGTCCAACACTGCCAACCGAGATAGCTTGCTGGGATCAGAAATAAATAAAGCTGATGCCATGGGAAGAACAGTTGGCCTAGACAACTACGGCCTTGTTGGTTTGCAACGACAAATTATGAAAGGCAAGAGATCCTTATTCGGATGTAACTATTTTGTTGTCCTGTAATCTTTGCACATGATTGATTTTCACAATATTGATCTTTACATGGTATTCCTATGAAGCAGAGCAAGATGAGGGGCTCGAGAAATTGGAGGAGACTGTAGTAAGCACAAAACATATTGCATTGGCAGTCAATGAAGAAATTGACCTACACACTAGACTTATTGTATGCCCTTGCACTCTAATACTTGTGTCTTTGAATCTTCCATCTAAAAAGTAATTACTTATTTATCTAAAATGTATTTGTACTCTCAGTATAACTTATGTCTTTCCGGCCCATTGTGCAGGATGACTTGGATGATCATGTGGAAGTTACAGACTCCCGGTTACGGGTAATCATCGAACTCATGTATTTTAAATTATTATGAACCCTTGTTTAGCAAATGAATATTGCACAACTCTTTCTTCCCTCCTGTCTGAATTCCCGGAAGAAAGAAAATCAACAGCGAAAAAAAAAAAAAAGGAGACGTGTGTACCATGACACAACAGAAGTGTCCCCTGGTGGAAAATTTTGACCATCTTGTCGTTCATAAATGCATTTTGATTAGTGTGGGCTGTAGTTAATTCTTTGCTTGGTATTTCTAAGAAAAAATTATTATTGAAAGTAAGGCTGACAGGAGAAACAGTAGATGCTGTCGAGTGAAGAAAATTATGTTACTTCAAAGATGTTAGGAATTGCGATTCCTTACTGTAGCTGAAGTTGATGAAGTTGATTGTTTTGATCTTTGTTTTGTTTCCTTAAGAATTGCAATGTTTTATTGGGAGCAAATATTAATCAAATACTATTTTGTCTACCCGTTAATGCCAAAACAGCGGGTGCAGAAAAACTTGGCAGTTTTGAACAAGCGCACAAAGGGTGGTTGCTCCTGCATGTGCATGCTTTTATCTGTCGTCGGGATAGTGGTTCTGATTGCCGTGATATTTTTGTTGATCAAATACTTGTAATAGTACCAACTATAAGTCTACACCGAGTATGAAGATCTCCTGTTTGTGTGTTTTGATGTTGTTGCCGTGATATTTTTGTAACGTTCGATTGTTTATAAATGTTTTATGTGTTTTCTTGCTTGGAAGCATGTTTTTCAAGACTTTGACATGAGGTGAAAAGAATCAATCATTAAGCAAAATTGTTGACATATTCCTTTGTCATTGAGGGCTCGTTCACGTAACCGTAATCAAAATAAAGGAATTTGGAATGAGGAGGAATTGAACTGGGGAGGAATTGCAATTGGAGCAATTACAACGAATCATATATTGTGAATAACGTTGGAAGATGTGTGAATTGAAATCGTGACCTCATGTGCAACTATTAATGCTCTCACGCGCTTCAGTTACAAGCTACTTGCTTTTGTTCAAGAGAGGCAAGTAGCTGAGGAATTGGCGATGGGTATGGCATTTTATTCACACATTGGGTCACTGATAACAATAATTATACTGGACCGTAATATTAGTGACACACTTGGCTCTTTCATTTAGTTCAACCATACATATTTCTTATTGTTGAAATATGTTCGAAGTTCGAATTACATAATATAAAGGCAAATAATCACCCTCGCGGCCCAAAAATGACGGTTTGGGCCTAATTGATTTATAGGCCCATGAAAATAATCAACCTAGCTTTTGAACCTGATAATCATGGCTCTAACTTCATCATGTCTATTATTTAGAGACAAAGTTCAACATGTCATCAATAAGAAATAAACATATTTATTAACGTTTAAGTAATAATTCAATTATTAACGTCCATGTTATTTAGTTTACAAAATTTTGTCAATCAATTTAATCTTCCTAACATTACTCATATATTATATTAAACCGCATGTGTGAAATATGGATATATCCATATTGCTCCACATATACAAACATATATAACCATGAAGCTGACGGACCCAGATGAGTTTTTGGCACTTTCTTTCTGCTTAATCTCGTTTCCTCGCAAAATTTGATACCCAATTGGCCAATTTCGCAGCTTATTAGGGTTTTTCTTATTAATTCGATAATTGCTTTCCAGAACCAGTGGGGTTGTTCATGATGAAAGAGGGTTTATGTAAAGAATTAAGCGAAAAAAATTTGTCAGATCAAATAAAGATGAGCAATGTGCCGAAAGAAGCTATAGAGATCGTAGCACAGAACTTGGCGTTTCCAATTTGTACCCTGATGTCGCCCTTGCTTTTATTTAAATCCATTTAACCTTGAACCCAACTTAGTTTCCATATTCATATTATTTTTAATTAAAGAATTAATATCTTTTTAAACTCAAATTTATTACCGAAAGTACCCTTCCTAACCTAATTAAAAAGTATATTTATTTTTACACCCATTATAAAATAAAAAAAATCTCAAAGAAACTCAAAAGTGAAAACTCTTCTCAGTCCTTTGTCTTCCCTCCCATCTTGATCTATTTAGAAATAGAGTGTTTTGTTTTTCAAATTTTTTTAATATCAAGCCTATTGGGTGTAAATGGGTATATAAGACAAAAAGAGATGCTGCTGGCAGAGTTGAAAGATATAAGGCATGTTTAGTAGCAAGGGGGTTCAATCAAAGGAAGGGTGTAGACTATAATGATACATTCTCACCAGTTTCTTCCAAAGACTCGATGAGGGTAATTATGGCTTTGGCATCACATTTTGATGTAGAATTATGCCAGATGGATGTAAAAACTGCTTTCTTGAATGGAGACTTGCAAGAACATATTCACATGATTCAACCTCTTGGATTTGTTGAAAGGGGGAAAGAAAAGATGGTCTGCAAGCTTAATAAGTCAATCTATGGACTTACGCAGGCTTCAAGGCAATGTTTTCTTAAGTTTGATCAAGTAATCACATCCCATGGCTTTACTGAAAATAAGATGGATGACTGCATCTATCTTAAGTTTAAAGGATCGAACTTTATCTTCTTAATTCTATATGTTGACGACATTTTGCTTGCAAGCTCAGATTTGCAGTTACTTATGGAAACCAAGAAAATTCTGAGCACAAATTTTGAGATGAAAGATTTGGGAGAAGCTCATTATGTGCTTGGAATCGAAATAGTGAGGGATAGACAAAAGAAATTGCTTGGCTTGTCTTAGAAGGGTTACATTGAAGGGGTCCTTAGCAAGTTTAATATGGAAAGCTGTAATATAGCTGATGTCCCAGTAAACAAAGATGATAAGTTCTCTCGAAATCAATGTCCTAAATCTAAGCATGAGATAGAATTGATGAAGATAAGGCCGTATGCTTCATTGGTTGGAAGTCTTATGTATGCAAACATATGTACTAGGCCTGACTTGGCAATCATAGTTGGTTTGCTAGGAATATTTCAATCAAATCCAGGTGAATCTCATTGGATAGTTGCAAAGAAAGTTCTGAGATAATTGTAGAGAACAAAAGAATTCATGCTGATGTATGGTAGAGAGGATTGTCTGGAGATCATTGGCTATACTGATTCAGATCTTGCTGGAGATTTGGATGAAAGGAAGTCAACTGGAGGTTATATTTTCATGATGAAATGGGGTGTTGTTTCATGGAAAAGTGCAAAACAGACAATCGTATCAACTTCTACAATGGAAGTTGAGTTGTAGCATGTTTTGAGGGGATAAAACAAGCAATTTGGCTTAGAAATTTTGTTGCTGAAATGAAGATTGTTGATTCTGTGAAGAGGCCTTTAAGAATGTTTTGTGACAATTCTGCAGCAGTATTTTTTTTCTCAAAGAATAACAAAAGAACTTCAGCTTCAAGATTGATGGATGTGAAGTTTTTAGAGAAATGGTAAAGAAGGGGGAAATCGAAATTCAGTTTTTTGTCAACCAACTTGATGATTTCGGATCCTCTGATTAAAACACTCCCTAATAATATTTTTAAAGGACATGTTGTTTGAATGGGGGTGTTAGAGTCTTTTGACAAGTGGGAGTGAATCATAAAGGTTGTTGTTTGATATTTCATTGCTCTGCATTGATATTGAAGTTGCAGTTCTGCAAGCTGAGTTAGTTTTATATATTTTGGTTGAGTTTAATCTTCTCAGGTAGTTTATTGTTAGCTATTATTGTTAGTTATTTTCAATTAAGGGTTTCAGTTTTTCCATCTGGGATTAACTTGTGCTAGAAAACAAATTTTATATATGAGATAGTTTGGTTTGTTAGAAAATCATTTTGTGATTTTGTTGAAGCATACTTTCGGGACTATTGATTATACTATTGGTATTGATAAATTTTAGTTATCAACTGTGATCATGGCCTTATTGTGTCAAGATTGACTTATATGAGTGGGAGTAATGTGTTTTAACATTGCTGCAAATTTTAGTTCACATGTTTACAAATTGCAGATTGGGTGTGTAGTGATTGATGGGTTAATTCTGTAATGGACAGAAGAAACTCAGCAGTTCCATGCTTTAAAATGCTTAGGTAAGGTTGTATGTGATAATGAGCTTTTGGTTAACTTGGACTTGGTGATCACTTCCATGATTTATGAGGCTGTTAGTCATATTTCATACTCAAGTGGGAAAATGAAAGAGTATGAGTATGAGACAAATATTTAGAGCCGGATTGTATAAATCTTTGTTTGGAAAAGTCCCGTTGATAAGCTTTTAGTAAATCCTGTTTGTTATAGAATTATGGGTGTGGTATACCAATTCTATATGGGATTTGACTCAGTATCAGGAGTCTAGTTCATTCATATTGTGATATGGTTTAGCTGTTTGAGTCCATACGAATTCTAATAGGAGAATATTTGGAACACTGCTATATGTATGTTTAGCCACTGCTCTTGCAAAGATCTGCATTTTTTATATTTGTTCTGAATACCTATTGTTCGGTGAGTACTTGTGCTTTGTTAAAGAGGAGAAGGTTAAACCTGTTCGAAGAGCTGCAATGGCGTCGTCTTCGATCTCAGGTTTTGCAGGCCAGTTGTTATGCAGGTTTCAGTGTTTCTCATGAGCATGTTTGGTCTAGATACATATCTTGTTCTTAGTTTCTGATAATTCAATTGGTTAACTTATGATTGGTGGTGTTAGGACATACATATGTTTATATTTGTCTTACCCCATAAACATAACCCACAATTTATAGATAATTTTCCACCAATCCTACATAGAAGGATCAAATTACTCTCTCGAAGAGTACTTTGGTAAGGTGGTGGTTGATGGTTTCAGGGTCCGAGTATGCACAATAGTAAAAGCTCCTCGCAACTATGGAAAAGGTTTGCTTGGTCGAAGACTCTGCGCCGTGCAAAGGCTTTTGGAGCAACATTTGCACGAGTTGCTGCATGTCTAATTCAATTTCCTGGGTTGTTACAATGTAGCTGCCATTTTCATTCACCTGAGAAAAATAAAAAATGAACTATATCAAAGACGCCCCAAAAACAGAATCTGGAGAAAGTATAGCTTACCCTAATGCAGAAATAGGTTTAAATTTCTAACTTGTGCTTTTGGTTTTGGTAGCTGCGGAGTCTGTTGCAAACTCTGTTGGTGATCTTCAGAAGTTGGTTATGGTCAGGATCATTGGACAACAACGGCCCCTCTGAAAGCAAAATGCCGGCAGTTTGATTTATCGTTTCCACCAGCAGTGCGGCTTCATCTTGGTGCATGTCTCCTTTATCTTGTCACTTCAGAAGCCAGTTTTCCCACTGTATTTAGTTAATGAAACAAAACAGAAAAACCCAAATTAGATTTTTGGGATTGTGAGGATGTAAAAATTTTCGCATGTCGAAAGTTGAAGTCGCATTGCAATGGCTTACAGGAGTTGGGCCATTCCCTCTGTTGCCAATTGGTTTTAGGTAAACTTATGTTGTTTTGCTAGGAACTCACAGCTTGGCGTAGAGGGTGGCTGATGTTTTGGCCATGCGCCGCCATTGCGTCCATTGAGAAGTGGTGTATGGTTGCCAGCAAGGTCTCAATAAGTCCCTGCCGTTTCTTGTTTGTATTCATCTTCCTGTAAAACAAGGCATGTGTAAATTAATGTCTCATCCAATGTACGTAAATGCATGCTTCCTCAACAACCGATTCCTCATGTATATGCGCAAAAATTTTTCCTACGGCGATGCTAATGAGTACTTATACACATATATCAGATTGTTATTTACCTACAAGTAATTAAACT